TTAATAAAATTTAGTAAGTAATAATGATTACAAAAAAGTGAAAAGGTAATGTTTATTTCATTCAATATTGCACTGGTAGTTATACTTGAGGTTATATGGCAGTACAAGGTAGTTAAGAGTAATCTAGGATAGTAAATGTGGTATTAAAACAGGTAAAGGTAATTAGACAAGTAATGGTTTTATTAAATGTCAAAAATGTTAAGAGTAAATTGAAATTTTAGTAAAAATGATATTTATTAATTTTAGTAAGTAATATCAATTGATAGTATTTAAAAAAATAAGAGGTAGTAATATGGACAGAGAAAGTATCAATTCAGCTAATATTTAAGCAAACAATAGTAAATAAGAAAATCACATAAAGTGATTTATGCTTACTAGTAAAATCACAAAATGAGGTAGTTGATTATTTAATTACTAAGAGATTGTACAATGAAATTTGAACAATAATGGAGCAAAACATACACTACACTACACTTCATAGATAGAGTTGAAAGAGAAGTAAATTTTCAGGCGTTGGCCAGAGGTGTGGGGTTAAAAAATAAAGAATCAAACAGAAAGTGGGAGTTCTCATGGCTGCTCTTTGCTGATGACACTGTGCTTTTGGGGGATTCTGAAGAGAAGTTGCAGAGGTTGGTTGATGAGTTTGGTAGGGTATGTAAAAGAAGGAAATTAAGAGTGAATACAGGAAAGAGTAAGGTGATGAGGATAACAAAACAATTAGGTAACAGAAGATTGGATATCAGATTGGAGGGAGAGGGTATGGAGGACATGAATGTATTCAGATATTTGGGAGGGAATGTGTCAGCAGATGGGTCTATGAAAGATGAGGTGAAACATAGAAATGATGAGGGGATAAAGGTGAGTGTTGCACTGAAGAATCTGTGGAGACAAAGAACTTTATCCATGAGAGCAAAGAGGGGAATATATGAGAGTATAGTTACACCAATGCTTTTATATGGATGTGAGGCATGGGTGGTAAATGTTGCAACAAGGACGAGGTTGGAGGCAGTGGAGATATCTTTTTGGGCCACCCAAAATGTGTAAATAAAAATAAATAAAAATACGTAATAGGTAATGGTATTACTATAGAAAACCGAGGTAGTTATTACCGTGCCAGACTGAGGGAGTGACCACCTTCAATCAAGACTGAGGGACTGGCCACCTTCATCAAGAATGAGGGACTGAACATCTTCAATCAAAACTGAGAGACTGACCACCTTCAATCAAGACTAAAGGACTATACACCTACTATCAAATCTAAAGGGACTGCCCAGCCCAAAACTGCTTCCGTTGAATTTAGCTCTTGTTAACTTCCACTGAGGAAGGGCAACAAAAAACAAGAGGAAAAACATTCACAAATTTTCAATCAGTACTGTCAAACTGCATTGACATCATTGTTCAGATGTCCCTCCAAAATGCATCGTCCTCACCCATCCTTTGGAGTCATCCATCCTTAGGTGCAGGCACTTTGAAGGAAACTCCAAAGGATGGACAAAGATAATATCAGACTCTAGACTGGGTAACTGGCATTTCCCCAAATCCCCTTTATACACCGGCTTAGTATATACTATTGTCCAATACACCTCTGAGTTGAACCCAGACCCTCCCAGCACTGTGGGAGAGTCAAAATACCATGTAAGGTTAGTTTTAGGCAAGGTTCATCAGGAAACAAGACAATGTTTTTCCCGACATGGGTCTTAGTCATATGAAATCCACAGCTGGAGCTTTTGGTCATCTGACTGAGGCCTTCCACTATACCAGTAAACTAACACACTTTCCTACCACAAATATGAGGGTTTAAATCACCAACTCTTCCCCACAACCTTCCAAAGATTTATCCTCAATTTACATCAAAACCCCCCAAATATATCGATCAAGTTAGTTTAACTTGCATGTATTAGGTCCTCCATAATACTTAATTCCTTCTCTCTGTATTCCAACTTGAAAGTACAGCATATGCTGTACTTTTTTCTTCAAGATTTAGAGACTGAACACATCAATTTTGAGGCTTAGGGACTGATTACCTCAAACTCCTCCTCTGTTTGTATTGTTCTTTTTTGTATGGGCTAATGAAGCCACTGTGCGGTTAAAACATTTTCTCAGTAAAGATACCAAAATGTTGCACAAGTGTCTCATTCTTGCTTTAATATGCAATAAGATCACAGTAAACCAGTGATAACATAATATGCAAACAACCACTGTGAAAAAAAAGTACTTTTCCAAGCACTTTTTGAGATTTCTCACATTATTAATGACCTGTAAAAATAATAGAACAACAGAAGGCTTATAAGGCTGAGATTTCACCTCACATATGACCTTCTACTGTTCTATTAATTTTACAAGTCCTTGATAGACCAAATAACCCACACATAGAGAGAGGAGGTTATGACGATGTTTCAGTCAATGCGGATTTTGTGAATACAGTGGTACCCTGAGTTTCTAACTGCTCCCAACTCTGCCAATTTTGGGAAGTGTATTTTTGTAAGTGATTTTTGTAAGTGTATTTTTGGGGGGGCTATAATGGACTAATCTAATTTACATTCCTTATGGGAACAAATTCATTCAGTAACGGCACTCCCGGAGTTTTACCTGGAGAGGTTTCAGGGGGGGCCCGGTCTGAGAACCAGGCCTCATAGTGGGGTCAGGGTCTGATCAACCCGGCTCTTACCCGCTGACCACACGCAAGCTGACGTACGAACCACAGCCCGGTTGGTCAGGTACTGACTTTAGGTGCTGTCCGGTGCCTTCTTGAAAACAGCCAGGGATCTATTGGTAATCCCCCTTATGTATCTGGGAGGCACCTGAACAGCTTGGGCCCCGACACTTATTGTGTTTTTCTCTCGGTGTACTCGTGGTGCCTCTGCTTTTCAACGGGGAATGTTGCATCTCCTGCTGAGTCTTTTGCTTTCATATGGAATGATTTTCGTGTGCAGGTTTGGTACCAATCCCTCCAGGACGTTCCAAGTGTACATTATCATGTCTCTCTCTCGCCTGCGTTCGAGGGAATACAGATTAAGAACCTTCAACTGTTCCCAGTAGTTTAGGTGCCTTATCGCACTTATGTGTGCCATAAAAGTTCTTTGTACACTCTCCAGGTTTGCAATGTCGCCAGCCTTGAAGGGGGCCATTACTGTACAGCAGTATTCCAGCCTAAAGAGCATAAGCGATTTGAAGAGAATCATCATGGGCTTGGTATCCCTAGTTTTGAAGATTCTCATTATCCATCCAATCATTTTCCTAGTGCATGAGGTAGATACATTGTTGTGGTCTTTGAAGGCGAGATCCTCTGACATTATCACTCCATGGTCCTTCACATTACCTTTCTGCTCTATTGTATGGTTAGAATTTGTTGTATATCCTGACACATTTTTAATTTCTTCAAGTTTTCCATATCTGAGTAGCTGAAATTTCTCCTTGTTGAACTTCATATTGTTGTGAGTGGCCCATTCGAAGATTTGATTGATATCTGCTTGGAGTCATGCAGTGTCTTCGATGGAGGTCGCTGCCAGGGTAATCCGAGTGTCATCCGCAAAGGAAGACACGGAACTATGGCTTACATCTCTATGTCAGAAATGAGGATGAGGAATAGAATGGGAGTGAGTACTGTGCCTTGTGGAACAGAGCTTTTTACCATGGCTGCCTGGGACTTTACTCTGTTTACTATTACTCTTTGTGTTCTATTTGTCAGGAAGATGTAGATCAATCTACCAACTTTTCCCATCATTCCTTTATCCCGCATTTTGTGTGCTATTACACCATGGTCACACTTGTCAAAAGCTTTTGCAAAGTCTGTGTATATTACATCTGTATTTTGTTTATCCTCTACAGCATCCAGGATCTTGTCATAGTGGTCCAGTAGCTGGGACAGGCAGGAGTGACCTGCTCTAAACTTGTGTTGTCCTGGGTTGTGTAAATGATGGGTATCTAGATGGCTGGCTTTCTTGCTTCTTAGAACCCTCTCAAAGATTTTTATATGGGATGTTAGTGCTATTGGTCTGTAGTTCTTTGCAATTGCTTTACTCCCACCTTTGTGGAGTGGGGCTATGTCTGTTGTTTTTAGTGTGTGTGGGATGACCCCTGTGTCCATGCTCCATCTCCATAAAATGCTGAAGGCTCGCAGTAGGGACTTCTCGCAGTTCTTGTTGAAGATGGAGTTCCACGAGTCTGGGCCTGGGGCAGAGTGCATGGGCATATCATTAATTGCCTCTTCAAAATCTTGTGGAGTTGTAATAATATCCGAGAGTTTTGGGATGACCAAATTTTGGGTTTCGTTCATAAAGAATTCATTTGGATTGTCGTCCCTTAGAGTGGGCAGTGGATCACTGAACACTGAATTTCTTGGCTATCATCTGTGTATGTCCCATCCCTCCTAAGCAGGGGCCAATACTGGATGTTGTTTTTCCTTAGATTTGGCATAAGAGAAGAAGTGTATTTTTTGTTTTTGTTTTTTTCAATTTCCTTCTTGGCTTTTAGTTCTTTCTGTGATTCTTGTCTTCTATAAGATTCCTTCAGCTTAAGTTTGATATTTGCAATTTCACTGACTAGTGCCTCCCTTCATATTTCAGATATAGTGACCCCACTCAGCAGCTCTGTGACTCTTCGCCTTCGTCTGTATAGGGAATGTCTCTCTCTTTCAAGTTTACATCTTCTCTTTCTTTTTCTTAATGGAATGCATCTTGAGGAGATCTCAAGAACCACGGAATTCATTTTTTCAAGGCAAATGTTCGGATCCATGTTGTTTAGGATATCTTCCCAGCTTGTTTCATTTACAATATGGTTTACTTGATCCCATTGTATGTTTTTGTTACTGATAATGTTCCAGTCATTGTGCCTTTCTGTTTTTTAAGGTCCTTGATAATGTGAGAAATCATGAAAGTGCTTGGAGGTTCACTATTTTTTCACAGTTGCTGTTTTGCATATTTATATAACATGTTATTGAATTTAAGAAATTAATAAAACTTGCTATAATTTATTACTCTACATTATGTAATAAAACTTACCATCTTTCACCTCAATCAAGTCATCATCAATGTAGGTGTTTGCACCATCACACACATCAACGCCCTGCAACCATTATGCAGGGAAAATTAGAAAGTTTCATTCATGTATTCATGTGCAAGTACATATGCACATTAGCAAGCTCTAATCCAGTAAGGATCATACATCATATATGTAGGTAAATAACATACAAGTACTTCTCAATTTACTATGGTCTGACTTACGATATTTTGATTTTATGATGGTGCAAAAGCAAGTACTTTGGAGGTGAAGGCAGCAAGTCCATAACTTGTATTCATTTATTTACTTTTCAATACAGTGGTACCCTGAGTTTCATACAGTTCCCAACTTGAACCATTATGTTAGTGTATTATTGTAAGTGTATTTTTGGGGGTCTGAAATGGACTAATCTAATTTACATTATTCCTTATGGGAATGAATTCGTTCAGTAATGGCACTCCAACAGCCTTCTGGAATGAATTAAGGCCAAAACTAGGGGAAGCACTGTACTGGTATTTAGTTACAGTAATTATTTGTTTATTATTTAGTGACAGTAGCCATTTATTTACTTATTTATTTAGCATATTCATATTCAACTTAGGATATTTTCAACTTACAATATTTTCGATTTACAATGGGTTCGTCATAACATAACCCTATCGTAAGTCAAGGACCACCTGTAATATATGCTGACAGTTCACAAATGTAAAATATTTATCACTACTCACCACAGGCTGTCCAATTTTCACACTATTTTGGGATTTTATATGCCTATCAGTCTTGCATTTGAAGAGCTTGTCAAATTTGTCTGACGATTCAAAGTAGGCAAGCTTCGAAGGCTTCTTTCTCTTTAGGCCAGAGCACGATACACCTTCAAGTATGTAATATTGCTAAAAGAACATATTCTTTGAAACAAATGATCATATTCTTAAAGTCAAGAGTACAGTAAATTACATTATTCTTAACAAAGTCAAGAGTAGTCAGTTATCTTATTAAGTTATTTACAGCTAACGAAATTTTTTGTAAACACAATTGAAAAAGTGCAACCAAAATTAGAGATCCTATAGAATGGTCTTCATAGTAGGCATCCAAATATTCCCTTACTACAGATATCAGTACTGGAACTCAACACACTATACATGATATAATGAATCACCATTTAACCTAAATGATGAATGATCATGCCGACCCAGACCTAAACCTATATAACCTAACTCCCAATCAAAATTTAATGGAAAGTAACTGCCTCTATTACACAACATCACAAGCCAGCACTGTCCTAAATACTGCTAAAAATATTACAGTTCTTAATTACAATATCAGGTCTCTAAGCAAACACCATGATGACCTCCTGACACTCCTCGATTCCTTAACCTCTAAACGGTCCAAACGTATATACAGTGGACCCCCGGTTTGCAAAGTCATCGGTATCCGATTAATCCGGTATCCGAAGCATTATATCGCAAAAAATTTGCCTCGGTTCCCGTTACAAAACCTGGTATGTGATATGATTCGTACGAGACGTGTCCACGTGTGGCCTGAACTGCCCCGTGTGTGCCAGTGTTTACAAGCCAGCCAGTGTGTGCGCATCTAAGGATACATTCGGCACATTATCACTGTTTTTGGTGCTTGTTTCTGCAAAATAAGTCACCATGGGCCCCAAGAAAGCTTCTAGTGCCAACTCATCAAGACCAAGGGTGCTAATGACTATTGAAATGAAGAAAGAGATAATTGCAAAGTATTTAAGTGGAGTGCGTGTGTCGGACCTGGCCAAGTTGTATAGTAAATCCCAATCAACCATCTCTACTATAGTGAGCAGGAAAATGGCAATCAAGGAAGCTGTTCTTGCAAAAGGTGCAACTGTGATTACAAAACAGCGATCGCAAGTGTTAGAAAATGTTGAGAGACTGTTATTGGTGTGGATAAATGAAAAACAGATAGCAGGAGATAACATCTCTCAAGTGATCATTTGCGAAAAGGCTAGGCAGTTGCATGAGGATTTAATTAGAAAAATGCCTGCAACTAGTGGTGATGTGAGTGAATTTAAGGCCAGCAAAGGTTGGTTTTAAAGATTTAAGAATCGTAGTGGCATACATAGTGTGATTAGGCATGGTGAGGCTGCCAGTTCAGACCAAAAAGCAGCTGAAAAATATGTGCATGAATTCAAGGAGTTGAATTCAAGATATATTGTGCGACAGAAGTCCAGTGACTCTCAAGCTGGTTCTAGTGGCATTAAAAGAAGAAGGGAAGTAACCCCAGAAAAGGACTTGCTACCTCAAGTCCTAATGGAGGGGGATTCCCCTTCTAAACATTAAAAACTTTGACACTCTCCCCTCCTCCCATCCCATCAATCATCACCAGATCTTCATTAAAGGTAAGTGTCAATTATTCTATTGTGATTATTCAATTGTTATTATTGTTATTGTAATTATTCTATTGTATTAAACTTAATATTTCATGAGGTAAAAGTTTTTTTTTTTCATACTTTTGGGCGTCTTGCACGGATTACAGTGGACCCCCACTTAACGATCACCTCCAAATGCGACCAATTATGTAAGTGTATTTATGTAAGTGCGTTTGTACGTGTACGTTTGGGGGTCTGAAATGGACTAATCTACTTCACAATATTCCTTATGGGAAAAAATTCGGTCAGTACTGGCACCTGAACATACTACTGGAATGAAAAAAGTTCGTTAACCGGGGGTCCACTGTAATTTGATTTCCATTATTTCTTATGGGGAAAATTGATTCGCTTTCCGATAATTTGGCTTTACAATGAGCTCTCAGGAACGGATTAATAATGTGAACCGAGGGTCCACTGTACAGTAAGGCCCCACTTTACGGTGTTTTGCCTTACGGCATTCTGCTAATACGGCGATGTCAAATTATGACCAAAATTTGCTATATGGCAAGCGGTCTTTCAAATACGGCGCCTCCCACCCAGTTTGTTTACATATTCCGTGACTTCATCTATTATGTCAGGAAACTTTCCAAAATTTCAAGTGTTTAAAAGTTACTGCGTATTTTATATGTACTCTGATAATTATACTTAAGTGTACCTGTACCTAAATATACTTACACACTGTGCTGGTGTGCAGGTACACATTAAAATCGCTAAGTCTCTCTCCACTCATGACGCCAATAATACGTACAGGTCTCCCTCAACATTCGCGAGGGTTAGGGGATCAAGAGCCTCGCGAATGTTGAAAAACCGTGAATGTTTGGTGCCCCAATATATTGTAGGGAAATATATTACAATACTGCTTCCTTAACTTGTTGAACCATGAATAATCATAAAATACATGAAAACGTCGTAAATTGTACTAAATATATACATGTTATGCTTTAATAACGTATGTTATTTAATAACATGTATGTTAATAACATGTATGTTATTAAATACCACAGACTCCACCACTGCCTCCACCAATGCCTCCACCACTGCGAGTCCCTACTACCCTCCCTCCGACCCCCGCAACTGGCAGCCAGCCCTCCCACCACTCAGTGTGGTGAGTGTTTTGTTTGTTCATTATTTGCTATTAAACTACAGAATAAATAATGTAAACCCATTCATGACTGCATATTGGAATGGCTATCAGGAAAGGTATTAGACGGTGACATCATGTGTTTACTCTTGAACACAGCAAAGAATCAAGCATTTCTGCTATTGCTAATAATACAATAGTAGTAATAATAATAATAATAATAATAATAATAATAATAATAATAATAATAATAAATACGATATAATTGAAGAAGGAAATTGTACAAAAATACGAGGGAGTGGTTGACACATCGTCAGTGTGACTTCGTTTATGCTGGAGTGAACATTCCCCTCATGGAAGGTTCCTTGATGTTGGTGAGGGGCTCTTGATTTAGGAATTGGATCTGTGCTCCAGTTCCCCGAATTAAGCCTGAATGCCTTCCACATCCCCCCCCCAGGCGCTGTATATCCTCGGGTTTAGCGCTTCCCCCTTGATTATATAATAATAATGGAGTGAACATTAGTCTCCCTGCTCTTCCAAACATTTCACAACTATTCAGCGGTTGAGGCAGTGGTATTTAATAACATATATGTTATAAATAATAATAGTACATGTTATTATTAATAACATGTATTATTATTAACATGTATGTATTTAATAACATATATGTTATAAATAATAATAGTACATATTATTAATAACATGTATTATTATTAACATGTATGTTATTAAATACCATTGCCTCAATCACTGCCTCTACCACTCCAGTCACACTCAATCTACAAGCACCAAACACAATGAATTATTGTGAAATGTTGGAAGAGCAGGGAGACTAATGTTCACTCCAGCAATAAACAAAGTCACACTGACGATGTGTCAACCACTCCCTCGTATTTTGTACAATTTCCTTCTTCAATTATATCATATTTATTATTATTATTATTATTATTATTATTATTATTATTATTATTATTACTATTGTTATTATTAGCTGTAGCAGAAATGTTTAATTCTTTGCAGTGTTCAGGAGTAAACACATGATGTCACCGTCTAATACCTGTCCAAATAGCCATTCCAACATGCAGTCATGAATGGGTTTACATTATTTATACTGTAGTTTAATAGCAAATAATGAACAAACAAAACACTCACCACACTGAGTGGTGGGAGGGCTGGCTGCCAGTTGCAGGGGTCGGAGGGAGGGTAGTAGGGACTCGCAGGTGGCGGGAAACTTAAATATGATTTGGCGGCTGGGAATTTGGTGGCTGGGAATTTGGCAGTTGGGAATTCGCAAATGTGTGAAGCCCGTGAAAGTTGAAAATGTGAATGTTGAGGGAGACCTGTAATAATAATCACTCTTGGGCACACTAAATGTCTTATTTTACATCAATATAGGCATTTTCATTAATCCATCTATGATATTTTCCTCAATATTATATATGAAACCTATTACATAACATATAAACATGATATATACACTCACAGAATAAAAATTGATGTAAATATGAAATATGAGATTTGTTTACAAAACAGCTGTGTAGGTAGTGTCGGAAGAATTACATTTTCTCTAGTCAAACTGGGGGATAAGTGTAGAAAAATATTCTTTTCGTATGCCTTTACTCTATATATAGCAATTCACGACCCTTGTGGGTTTAGTGCTTTTTATAATTAATAATAATATTATTATTATTAATATTAATAATAATAATATTATTATTATTATTATTATTATTATTATTATTATTATTATTATTATCTTCATTCACTCTAAAAATGGTGTGTTGCTGTTTGTTTATTCTGAACTAACTTGTACACAATGTAAGAATATTTGTACTGTAAGGTAATTATTATTATAGTAAAAAAATATTGAGGTAAATGCTTTACAAACTGTTACAAATGGACGTGAATGAACTAAAAGTAGACACATATTAATACACATTTATTTCACCTGACCAAGTGATCGTCCACTACCTGTTCAGTCTGTGTTCTTACATTGTCTCAACTCTATCTCATTCTCTCTCTTGTTGACTCTTTCGTTAACTAGTTGGCTTTCATTGACGATGGCATCTAAGGTTAGCTGTGATAAAAAGAGAAGTTGTAAGCCTCTTGCTTTAAGTGCCAAGTTAGAGGATGATGGTGTGCCATTCTGATTTTATTCAATAAACACCCTGCCACTCACCTCTCACACATTAATATTAATATTTTAAGGTAAGTAATAAGTGTACTCTGTGTGTACCTTAACTTTTATTGTGTTTTTAATGCCTATTTCTATTGCTAACTTAATACAGTGGACCCCCGGTATTCGATGGCATCGGTATTCGATAAATCCGGTTTTCGATGCATTTTAACACAAAATTTTTTCCTCTGTATTCGATTGAAAACCC